TAACATAAATCACTGGGTAAATCTTAAAAGGCACAGCCAAAACAAAAGTATCTAATAGTTTGCCTGTTTAAAGTAGCCACACTTGAGGCATATTCAAGATATGTGGCTGGATCGTGTCGCAGAATATCAACATGGTGATTAATAACAAATGCAAAATGTAACTCAAAAGCTGACAAGCTGACAGCCCTCATCCGTTACTCCCCCTGGCCAACAACTCTGAAGTGGTTACAAATGGCGCAACATGAATTCAACATTACGATCAACTCTCGGAAAAACTGCAGAGGTCCGGGGAGCGCCATTCTCTGTCATACTCTGGTTCCGAAAGGCGAGACCGGCCAGCCAGTCGATGTGTAAGTCGTGCAATTAATACCCCAACATTGATGACACAAGCCGCCTAGCTTAAAATATTGAAGCCCAAATTTATGGCCATAAGACACAAGACTTATTGGCGGCACAAACTAAGGAATTTATGGTGCTCGGATCTTKCATGGGGTTTTCTGACCAACAGCCCTGAAAGCAGCTACGTATATACAACGGTATATAGTATACAGTATATAGTATATATAGACTTGTATCTTTCCAAGAATCACACTTGGCCACCCTTCAACTTGTCCATGCAGTTTCAAGTGCTTGGCGCTCAGCGAAATGAAAACGAAAACTCAGTTATCAGCACTTCTTCGACTTTGACAGTATCGGCGATCAGACTATAAGAAACTTAATTTATAAATTTTATAAATATATATATGCATGTGTATACGAAAAGTATATATACATATACATATATATGCCATACGCAATTGCTTGACTTGTTTTTACCATTCGTTTTTAGTATTGTTTTCATTTTGTTGTTGCTTTTGGGTCGGCTGATAAAGAACTCCAAGGAAATTAAACGCCAAAAGTGCCAACAAAGGCGCGCCATAGTTTTAATTACTTATAACTGAAAATTGGGAACAGCAACAAAATGTTCAGTTTGGTTCATTCTTTTACTTTTTCATTAAATCCATGTCCGGGGCTGCAACCACCACTGAAGAACACCAACCCACCCATAATGGCCAAGGCCTCGTGGCGTGGTTCAATCAAATAAAAATGAAAATTTTGTAATGGCGTTTGTTGTTGCTATTATGGTTGGCGGTGTTCGGTTTGGTGAAAGTAAATTGAGTTCAAGCAATTTMTATTAACCTGCTCGACTCTCTCTGGCCATTAATCATCTAAAGCACGCAAAGATATCCCCACAGCTACCACTACCAGCCTTTAGCGGGAATATATGCACATGAGTTACTSGATTGTATCAGCGTTCAGCTGCTAGGAATGATGCCTCACTGAGCTAACATAGAAGTTGAGCAAAGTTTGCTCAGTTTATTGACAATATCAGTATTAAGTTAACAGAAAATTAGTCAACTAGGCTATACAGACCGTCAGCTTTGAGGATGTCCGCATTTCCCTTAGTTCTTCCGACTGCACTTTATCAGCTCAATTTTCCGTTCTATCCGTATTTTGCCTCATTTAATTATGGTATAGCTACGTATATCATATCAATAGTAGGAATTTGAAAGAATAGGCTTTTAGAAAAAAGCATTTCGAATTAATGTAAGGGATTTTATACTTAGTTTACCTATGCATTAGAAGTGAAACTTGTTTTTAAGTTTCATTTATGATAATATAAGTTCTTGAGTTGTTATAGGATTGTAGATCTTAGAGATTAAAGAACAAATTCGGTTTGTAATTGTCGTGTAACCTTATCGCATAAAGTAAAAGATTAATTATTATTCATACGCACTGTCGATCATCTAACTATACATGGCCTAAAAGTACAGTCACAGATTATATAGATATAGACAATAAATATAATTGCGAATTTAAAATAATAATAAAATAATAATAATATTAATTATAAGTCAAAGTTAGTTATTTGTCTATTTATCATATTTATATTTACTATATGGAAAAGTTATATAAAAGTCTTAATGTACCCAATGACAACACCCAGTAAAAAGCTGTCTCTGTTTCATTTGCTTGTGGCTTGGCAACGCCAATTGCCGTTCACCTTCTTTATACGCACCTTTGTTTACCAATACGAGCAGACATGACTCATCATAATAACTGACAATCCATAATAATCCGTTGTCTCTACTGCTGTTGCTGCTGCTGCTGTCATTGCTGTTGGCCTTTGTGGCGAAGGTTCAACAACGACAGCGCCGCCATTAACAATCATGGCTACTGCTGCTGGGGTTGAAAGGGGCTTCTGTTGCGGGTTGGTTGTTTTGGTAGCCAAACAAGGCGACACCGACAGACCCTCAGATATGATGAACATTATTAATTACTTATGACAAAAAAAAAAAAAAAAAAAACGAAAAAAGCACAAAATATGATATATATCAGTAGGTATATATATATTCATATACATATATACGTTTCTTTGTTTTGTGTAACCCGATTAAATTTATAGAATTGTTTATAAGAGCTTCACTTGCACTTGATACTGTGTGTTAGACCAAACCACTTCAGTATTCGATAATGGGCGTAAAATTGAAAGCGCCTATCGCTCTGCAGTACCAATAAATTTCTTTAAAAAAACCGTAAGCGTCGCATCGAGCCCGTGTCACTTTTCCGCGTAACCAGAGTAAGTGTTTTACGGGTCTGTTAACTTTGCTCGTTACCCCCAATGGCATATTGTGCACAACTGATTGTTCCTATCAACAAAGTGATTTTTCCTATCGTCGTCGCATATAATACACCTCCATATATAAAAGAATATATATATATATATAAACATATCGAATATCTGAGAATAGATAGTGGCCTTAGATAAGTTAACGTATCTTAACAGAGATTTCGAGCCACACTCGCAACAGGCCCCCTAATATGTAAGGGAGAGAGAGAAGCCCATGCAGAAACAGCTGCTCCTTAACCTACTCCAATGGGAGTCAGTCCGTGCGATATCTGGCTGGGCTGTGTCAACATCTAGGGCTTACCTGGTGGCCACCAGGTGTGAGCTGTAATCGCAGTTCATTTGCTTAACCGATAATGCGTGCGCCTCGTGACGTTGCCAATTTCTTGCTTCGGTGACCTAGCTAGATAAAAGTATCTAATCTTGGCTTTTCAGCAATATATACATATATTTATATATTATATACATATAAATACAATCACATKCACATAATATGCCTCTGTATTTATAAGATAATGAAGATTTGCTATCAATTTGTCGCTGCAGTTGTTGTTGCAGCTGTTGCTGCTGGTAGTAGGATATCGGTATCAGTATAATTTTTTTTTTTTTTTTGGGGTATCTGTTAGGTTTCCCCATCGCCTGGCCGTTGATTGCTTTGGGCTTGGACTGGCTGTGCTTCTGGTTCTGGTTGGGCTTCGGTCTCTGGCGCTGGTCTCTGTCGCCTGTTGCTCTGTATCAGTATATCAGTGTTTGAACTGATAATGTCCCAAGATAATAAGCGATAATAATTTGAATTTTTCAGTAATTCCTTAAGTTTGGACGCCCAACGGCATGGAATCTAATCACAGTTGGTGAGTGTAACTGGGATTTTCAACATGGAAACATTGTTATTTTCAAACCGCGCTCGCTCAATATTAAAATAGAAATCAAAAACAAGATCTACCCATATATATACCTATATATCCTATCTAATATATGTGACATCTCTTGCATTCAATGTGAATGCAATTAAAAGCCCGATAAAAGTGATTTACATTAAAATAATTTATTATTATTTACATAAATTCAGTAAAGTGCATGGATAAATCTCTGTATATAAATTTAAGAGTGAAGTTTCGGAATATCGTAAATACACTTAAAAAATAATTTAATTTTCATTATAATGCATCTAACTGAAGCTTTTAATGATCAAAGTTAAATCCGTATTTAATATTAATTTGTTATGTATAATTTCCAATTTGCATTATAAGGTTCAAATTCCCGAGAGACAATTAAAATAAATATATATACATGAAAGATCGTATTCGAGTAGCACTGAATGCAAAAGTAGCCGTTGAAATAAATAAACAATTTTTGGCATGCCGATAAGATAAAAATACGCATTAAATCAAACAATTTCCTAGAATGATATAAATTTAGAGCCTTTAAGCAAAAGTCAAAAATGCGGAATAGCTCTTAAAAGGTTTATGTAATATATAACAGAGGTTCTTTACAAGGATATTTTAGCTAACAGTTTTATAATTTTCTTGAAATTAAGATAAGTGTAAAATTAAACTTCCGATTTATATGATTTATTTTAACAAATTCAATGGCGCTTTCTAAACTAGTCGTTAACTAGTTAGTTAGTCTAMAAAATAAACCAATTATTTATGAGAAATTCAAAGTTTGCATTTTTAATTGTATACTTAGAATATGTTTTATTTTTCATTAATGTTATTATTTATTGCTATGGCATTCAGTATTCATTTCTGAGTATATTTCCTATGAATCTGCTAACTGTATAACGCTTCACAGCTCTGATCAAGATTTCAATACCTAATTTCTTAAACACATAAATTTATATRAATAATTTATATACATAAGAATATCAAAATGTTAGGGCACCAGAGAACTTCCATAAATGGCTGCAGCTAAAGGAGTTAAAAATAAAACAACATGACACCTAGCGCCGTAATTGCTGTAAGTGAAGTATTTAAGGCGAGCAATATGTTGTTCATGTCGCCAGTCTCTCAGCAAAGTTAAAATTCTGCCAAGACTTTGACTGGATGTCGACGCTGATGACAGTTCAATGTGTCTACATACATATTTCATTTCATTTCAGTCGATGAGTTCGTTCGCCTGCCCCTTGCCTCATGCCGGCTGTGTCTGTTGGCATGTCAACTCGTCGTACTGTCATTGCGTCGACAGTCTCGTTCGCTGTTACGGCTGCTTCTACTTTATTTCATTATCTTAAGCACACAATTTGAAGTACAAACGTCAGTTGGCGATAAGGCCGAGAAAGACATCAGACAGGCAACAACAATCAGAGCAATGAAATGTTGCTCTAAATGCAAACTGTTTGCATTTCCATTCAAAGACCCGGAATTGTTTTTCCACCTAGACTCAACTGAAACGCAGGCAGCCAAATGTGGTGCATTTTCTACCAGGAATCCCGAACGAAGTAAAACAAACAGTTGTCAACATTGAATTAGGCACACCGCAGGCATGGAAAGTAAGCTTGGCTTTTCTGTATTTGTCTGATACTTTTTATGTACCTGCGCTTTTTATGTGGCAGGCGTTCTCCATGCCCGTTTCTTGTACTTTCTGCATATGGTAAATAACATTATCAAATCATATTATCTTATTTATAAGCATTATCGTTGCCGCGCAGATACAGATTGCCTATCTATGGCAATGGGCATGTAAAAAATAATATCTTACCGTGCGGTTATTTCGTTGCTCGCACAGTAAGTTTTGCACTTTCCATTTAAACGCGCGGCGTCGTGTCCCTCCGACCAGCTAGCTCTCTGGCGTCACTTAACCCACATAATAATTATTATTTTATAATTATTATTATAACGTGTGAGTGTGTGTGCGTGTGTCTGTGTCTATGCCCATGCCTGTGTGTGACAACATCATAAAGTGACACCATAGTCGCAAATCTGAAGGAAAATGCGCCGTCTAATAAAAACGCAAAAACAGTAACAAAAAAAATAAAGCATAAACAGTGCCATAAAAACTTGAATGTCGTAAATTACGAACTTTGTGTGTTTCGGTACATAAACTATTTGCGGTGTCTGTACATACCTAAACGAGTGCGCAAATATCAACTTGCTGCGCTGACAGCAAAAATGTTCAAACTTAATGAAAAATAGCTATTGTTGCTGTAAGACAGAACATTCTGAAAAAAAAACATTCACAGCATTTTAATTAAAAAAATGCCAAAGCAATTATTTCTAAATAGTTGCCAAACTCTAACAGAAATTATTCATCTCTAAATATAAATGGACTGTTTCTGTGAAAAATGCTAAAGGAAAAAGAAATTAACCTTAAATAGTCTAAACACACAATCTTATAATGAAATACAGTCGAGTCTCGATAATTCGTACCCCGCTTAATCGAAAATCGCGATAAATCGAAAAATTCTATCCCGTTGAAAGAAATTCGTTCTCAATAATTCTCGATAGTCTGAATTTCTGTGTAAATCAAAAAAAGCTGATACTTTTGCCATTTCAAATTATCAGGATTTTACTATATTTATTTAGTGCCTGAACTTTTTCATTTTTGATGAATTTAACAAGTTGTTGTGAGGCGGAAATATTTCATAAACTAAAATCTTTATACTAACGTTATGTGCCAGTGGAAATTATCCAAGAAGGATTTGTTATCTGTATTAAAAAAAAAAAAAAAAAGAATTGTATTGCTATAAGCTTTATAGGTTCTGTGTGAACCACCCTTGTTCCATTTTATGAAGCAGTTAAATAAAAGGCCGCAATTGTCAGCATTACGCTGCATTACACATACACACAAGCACACACTCAAGCACACACATACACACATAATCAATTTATCATGCTTGCATTATGTACAACGGCCGTTGCTATGTTATTTCTGCTTTTCGTTTTGCGCGTGCGGCAACAACTGCGACGCCATTTTGAAATCAAGATGGCGACAACGATAAAGCTTTGCAGCACTTGGCGCGCGCTGGCGTTGTTGTTGCTGCCGCTTTTTTATTGCTTTATTACGCGTATTCCCCTGCTGCTCAAGTGTGGCCACATGTATTGAAGTGGAACTCGCATTGAAGAGATCTAACAGCCCAACTAACTGATCCCAAAGCTAAATAGTTACTAAACCCCCTTCACACAGATAGAGGCAGCATTAACAATCGGTTTGCAATAACATCGCACGGCAAGCTGAAATGAAAGCATTAAAACTATATCTTATCGTGCGTATGTATATACACATATGATATCATGTAAGACGATTTCTTGCATTCCATATACACACATATGTATTTGGCATTATCATCCCATTATCTGAGCAAAAGCATTGATAGCAACCATGACCCAGCCCCAGTTTTTAGTTAAAGTTGTTGGCTAAAACGATTTAAGTTTATTTCAATGGGAAACATAAAAATAATAACTGCAATAGTCTCAAATGAGTTAATATGTTTTCGACCGCGCCCAGGCAATATGCTCATCAAACGTCCTATGTTAATGTTGACTCTAACCCCATAATAATTTATAAATTAAACTTATTAACGCTCTAACGCCAGATGACGCCTTATCAGCTATCAATCAAACTCTKYACCGCCTGCCTGCAASGCTCCCATTCCCAWATTCACTCTCACGGCCCACACTTGATTGTTGGTGGCTTCAAAGGTTTTCCCCCAATGCGCGACTTTAGTACAGTCACGTAGTCAGCATTCTCTCTCGCTCTCGCTCTCTAGCTTGCTTTTTGGAACGCGTGACTCCAATAAAAAATAAATGAACAAAACGTACTCAAAGTATAATCACAAAAATAGAGCAAAAATCAAATATAAACAGAGAGCAAGAGCGACAGAGACGGAAAGCGAARCAAAGCGCTAGAGAAGGAGAGCAGCGGCAGCTAACGAGAATGCCAATGCTTATCTTATCAGAAAAAAATTGTCGCTTTCGTAAATGGTGGCATATAAAACAAATATTATATGTCCCCGTCCCCTTATATATATACTGCAACTGGATAAAATAATATATTTGATATGAACAATTCATTGCCAGTTCAACTTATGGCTTTATATATTTTTTATAAAATAGACTATAGGCCTGTCAACGTTTGATAACAAAAATATAATACTAGAGAGACGTTTATATTAAAAATGTTAGCAGAAATAACAAAACAAAACAAAAATTATTTTTGTATGCTTTTTCTCAATTATAAATAATGTTTATAAAATATCCTTTTTCTACTACAAAAAATAAAATGGTTTTCAAATAATTAAGTTTTTGCATTGGTTGCACTTTTTCTTACGTATATTTCGCAATAGAATTTCAGGAATGATTAAAGAAATATATAATATATGCATCAAATAAATGAGTTGATTTCAACAGTTTTAATAAATCATACCTAATATGTTAAGTTTGAAAATTGAAATATTCTGAATTAAGGATGTCAGTCTTCTTATTAGATCTGGTGAAAATCCAATTGGCAAGGCGACTTACAACATATGTCAACGATTTTTACAGCCCAAAAGTATGCAACATATTTTATTAGGCATTTTCTGGTGTAATAACAGAAACCATCTAGTGCGTTGTTTACACTCTGTTAGCTCTTTATTGCGCTCTTTATGAGCATGGTGGCTGGTCGATAACACACTTTTCGATAAGTTGGTTTTCAAATATAAATTTCAAATAAATATCTAGAATCTTTAGTCTGCGATTGTTTGAAAAATATTTACAGTATAAGTTGAGTTTATTACCCTTTACGAATAAAAATTATATTTTCATTTGCTTTAAAATGGAAAAAATATTTTATGTTTACTTGTCGTTTATTTATTCAAAAATAATAATATTAATATTGCAAAAAGAAGTAAAAAGTTAAACGAAACTAAAACTTAATTTGGCATATATCGTATGTGTAAAACGTATAAATTATTAACTAAAATTGCATGAGATTATCATTTATATTTTTGATATATTTTCATTATTGCTGATGCATAAAATTAACTTAAAAATTATGTGGAATTTGATGATAAGAAATCTCAAGAGTTATTCATATTCATAATAAAGAATAGTATTGGGGGTATATAATAACAAAAATCCAACAACATATCAGTTTTATGCTGCTGGCGACATTCGCTAAAAAAAAAATTAAACTAAATTTTACAATAACAGAACTCGAGTAGTTTGAGAGCATTTCCATAGCTTAGGGAAATGTCGCATCGATTTGCTTAAATTATATACAAAACTTGTGTGTGTGTGTNGCAATTCGAATGCCTAGGCTAAAAATGGATTTCAGTTTCTTTGGGAGCTGTGAGATGTGTGTATAACAAGAATATCTTTGGTCAGGTCTAATCAGAATCGGCTAGCATTATTCCATCTTAACAATTGTCTCGCGCTCACCGCCATATTTACGACCAAATTCATGGAGTTGCTGTTGTGCGGCTGCGTGCAGTGCATAGCTGGCAATCTGATGCTCGTGCTGGCTAAGTGCAACATGTTGCTGCTGTGCGTGCTGCTGTTGCTGCTGCTGTTGTTGTTGCTGCTGCTGTTGCTGCTGCTGGCGGTGATATGCGGCCAATTCATAATGCTCATCGATGGACGTTGAGCGGCTGAGCAACATATCATCGTGTTGCTGATGTTGCTGCTGCTGTTGATGTTGCTGCTGATGCTGCTGTTGCTGTTGTTGGTGGTGATCCAACTGCTCCAGTTTTATGATAGTCGGTTGCTCCTCCTCGGCTAGGTGACTTATGTAGTAGGGCGACGATGTACGACCACTCAGTGCCGACTTACACAAGGGCATCTCCGTCTGACCAAGCGCCTGCTGTTGATAGGGATTTTGGAGGTTGATAATGTTGCTGCTGCTGTTGCTCAGCGAGGATAGTGCGTTCGATGCCGTGGTCTGTGTTGTTGTTGTTGTGGCAGCTAATTGCTTGCTGCTGGTGGTGGTGTTGGTGGTGCTGTTGGTGACCGCCTCCGATTTGATCGCTGTGCTGATTGCCGCCGCCGCCGCCGCTGCTGCTGCAGCTGCTGCTGCCGCCGTAATGGAGTTCGGCATCAGGTGCATAAGTTGCTGATGTGCCAACAATTGATGATCGCTGCTGCTGTTGCTCAATTGTTGAGCTTGCAGATATTTCTGAATAATTTGTTTGTTATTTTCATTGCTGCTATTAATGCTGTTATTGTTATTATTAAATAATGAGTTGTTGTTATTGTTGTGACTGTTGCTGTTGTTGTTGCTGCTGCTGTTGCTGCTATTATGAAGCTGCGTGGGCGATGGCGTGGAGTAAATGGACTGAGACATGGCTGATGTGGGCGTGCTAGGTGAATGCTGCATGCTGCATGATTGCTGCTGCTGCTGCTGCATATTAATGGGCGACATTTGATAGGATGATGTGGGCGACATGTCCAGGCCAGAGCAAAGCTGTTGCTGCTGCTGTTGCTGCTGCTGTTGTTGTTGATGTTGGGATGCAGCATTAGGTGATAATGAGGAGGATGCCATGCTTTGCGGCGAGCTGGCCGCAGATGAATGTAGCTCAGTGTTTAGTTGTTGCTGCTGTTGTAGCTGTTGCTGCGGTGCGTATGACATATATGCGATTGGTTTCATTTCTAATGAGTTCGCCGAGAAAGGAGGGAGAGAGAGAGAAAGCAAACATCACAAATTAGGCATGCGTGTAACACACAGTGAGAGAGAGATAGAGCGAGAGAGCGCGCGTGCGAGAGAAAATGCATATTGAAGATCTCAACCCACCTCCATCAGTGACATCCATTTGCTGCTGCCCATGCGCCTCCAGTTGCATGCTCGCGTTGTGGCAGGCATTGGAATTGCTGGCCACTAATCCAGCTGCCTGCGAGGCTCTCATCTTCTTTGACTTTTCGCTTTTGGTACCCTTCGGCTTGCGCTTGCGTTTCTATTGATGGGGCGAAGTGAGACAAGAGTTTAGTTTCCGGCTTTTCTGTCGAGGACCAACTACAACAACTCACCTGTATGGTGTCCTTCTTCATCGTTAGTGGACGGACCACGCTGTGCAACTTGAAGTAAAGGCCGCACGCATTACAGACGGGCTCGCCCCCAGGATTACGACGCCATAGCGAAGTGTAGCTCGTCTGGCAGTTGGAGCAGGACATGCCAGCTCGTCGGGAGGCGCTCTGTGAAAGTTTTTAGAAAAATATCAGCCGGTTAGTGATTGTGTGTGTGCCAGTGTGTGTCAGTGTGTGTGTGTGTGTGTTTAATGAGTTATTGGGGGCGTGGAACTTTTATTGCTTTTGATGTGGAACAATATTTTTTGTTTTAATAAAAGGGTTTTTTTTTTCTCAACCAACTAAGTAAACCAAACGATACAAAATAAAAAAAAATTAAACAGTAAAAAAAAATTGGTAATTTTTAATATAAGCTACGTTATACGTTTGTAAGTGTAAGTAATCCAAGCATTATAAAAAGTTAGCAGAGACTAGGACTAGCAATGAATCAATATCTGGGTAATTTTTTTAAATTTATTATTAAAAAAAAATACACACATTTTTTTTTATTTATCCAGATGTGTTTAATATTCTATCTATATTCAGCATGCTACAAACTTTTGGTTAATAATTACTGTTAGTCTTGGCAAGACAGGAAACTATTTTACTTTCTGTGGATTGTCAATTATTTGATTCGAAATATTTGCTATTTGACATGTTAGTTGCAAGTTTTAGTTGATTGGCTTGGCTTGGTTTGGTTTGGTTTGTTTTGGTCTGGTTTGGTTTGGTTGGTTTGATTTGGTTGGGTTTGACTATTCATAATTAATGGACGACCTACCAAGCGTCTCGAATTAGCGCGACTAACTTGCTCGTCGAGCGCCGTTGAAGTCACTGAGGACGTCGTCGCCGACGTTGAGCCTGCGCTAGCGCCGACGCCAGCAGCGCTGTTGGCATTTGTTGAGCTTTTACTGCGGCTACCGGCGGTCACATTAAATGGGAAGGTCTTATAGAAATCCCCGCCTGATTCAGCGGCCACTGTAATAAGGCAATTAGAATTTGTTTGTAATGAAGAAAAGCGTTTGTTGTTGTAAGTTTTAGTTTTTTTTTTTTTTTTATATTTGTTGATTGTTTTTTTTTTTTTTTTTGTTTTTTTCAGTCGTACAAAACTAATTTGCGCTTGACTAATATAATAAATTCAATTAATTTTCTCTTTATGCATTTCTTAGTTCCATTTCTTTAATTTATGCTTTCGGATTTTGTTCAATGATAGAAGCGAGAACTGCAGTCTGGCTGGCGGATTTCTATAAGTTCTTAGAGCCCATTATTTAAGAGCTCTCGTTGCTATTAAAAATTTTGTTCCACACAAAAGCAAAAAATCAGTTTGTTGTTTGAGTTAGTAATACTTGTAATTGATTTTGTTGTTGTTGTAGTAGTTGTAGTTATAGCTGTTGTTGACATTTACCAATCTTCTAGGCTGTTTAATTAACGGCCGATTCATGCCGTTCATTTTATGATACAGGCCGCACGCATTGCATAAATAGTGTCCCGTGTTATCGCGGCGCCACAATGGGGTCGAAATCGCACCACAATTCACACATTCTCGCCCCTCAGTGAAAAAATCGGCATCGAGCAATGCTTTGGAAATTTAAGTATAGAAAAATCGAAAATTTGTATTGAAAGTTTTTTTTTGTATTTCATTTCATGTTGTTGTTTTTGTTGTAGTTGTAAATATGTGTGGGTGTGTGAGAAACGCTTTGAATTGCATTTTATTGTTTTTATAAAAAAAATTAGTATTTACTATTATATTTGATTTATACTGTTGTTGTTTATTTTTGTGTTGTATTTCATTTTTTGTTGTTCAAGAGTTGATAAAAATTAATTGAATTTATTATACGTTATACTTAGCAATAGAAATGTATATGATAAAAATAATACTTAAATAAAGTGTATTAAAATTGATAAACTAAAGAAATGCCTGTTTTTTTTCTTACCACAATACTAAAAACTGTTACCGATCTATTGATATATGTAAATTGATCTATTGATATGATTTTTGACATATATATGTACGCTATCCCTAAATAATAAATACAACATTTTTTATTAATGCGCCTATTTATTATATTTTCTTATCTCTTTATTGAAGGTTAAAAAATACTGCTGTTCATAAAAGAAGACTTGAATAATCAAAAATATGTTAATATTCTATGCTCATTTTACAATATTTTTAACCTCATTCATTTGTTTTCTGCTTTTCTCTATATATATAAATATATTTGAAAATTAAATCGATGTAGTTTTTATAATAATAATAATATGCCTACTGACTGAAAGAGAGTTGAGTCCTCCGGCTGTCTAACTATTCAAAGCACAAACGATGAACAGTTGGCAACAAATTTCTTTGCCCAAAATGAATTTACACAGGCTACGCAAATAACAGACCTATATATATACAAGTACATATATATTTATATGTATGTGAGCAACTGTTTGCGTGTGAAATTCTACCTAAGGCCAGACGGCTGACAAATATGTGGCATATTAGGATTCCTTGGCATACAGATGTCTATGTCTATAGCTATATGTGGAGGTCTGACTTACTTGCTGTTAGCGATGCCGAGGCGGACAGATGAGTGGCATTGGCTAGGAAGCGCGCAGGATCAACAGTGCTGGCAGCACCATCGACAGCGGCTGCTGCTGCCGCCGCGGCAGAAACGGCGCGTCCGTTGCGTATCACATTGGTCACCGCTGCACCACCCAGCTGGCCCTGGCCGGCGGTTGTGGGCGCGTAGCTAATTGGTTCGTAATGACCACTCCAGGCATCGCCCTGCACCAGAGAAAGAAAGCAAAGTAGTGAGTATTAAACAAATGTTGGAGCCGACATCTCCAGCCTTGCCACTTACGTGTGTGCGATAATTGCCTAGCGATGCGTATCCAGCCCGTTCGGCCCCACTGCCAGAGCCATTGGCCACGCCGTTGCCATAGCCCGCACCACCGCTTGCCGGCGCAATGCGCTGAAAGGCGGGCAAGGTGCCTCCACCGCCGTTGCCATTGCCGCTGTGGCTACTCTTGGGCGAGCCGTAGCCGTCGTCCAGCAGCGTGGAGTTGCCAGTGTGGTGCAGACCCACTGGACCAGGACTGTTGCTCGATGAGTTGTGATGTTGATGATGTTGTTGTTGTTGGTGCTGTTGCTGCTGTTGCTGCTGTTGCTGCTGCTGCTGTTGTTGATGTTGGTGATGTTGTTGTTGCAGCTGGGCGTGTGTGTGGGTGGGCGAGGCAATAGTTTGCATGCCGTACTGCATGCCATTGGCGGCCGAGGCGAGTAAAGGACTTGCATAGACAGAGCTGTAAAGAGAAATATA